CCAAAAAACAGTATAGGAGAAGGGAAGGGTTATGCCTATATTACGGTAGAAAGGGACATATGATAACTAATTGCCCAGTGCGTCCGTAAAACTTCCGCACCTAAGAACCTTAAGGGGACAGATCTTAGGTGTGATGGAGTTGTCCTCTAACAAAAACAAAAGTAGATTCCTCCTTGAGGTATCTATTTTCCTTGATAACAAGAAGTTTTCTTGCAGTGCCCTAATGGACTCAGGTGCTGCTTGAAATTTTATTGATGTCCAGTTTATTAGGGGTAATGAGATACCGGTCAGGGAGAGACCTACGCCGCTAGCTGTAGAGGCTATTGATGGTAGACCACTCACACAACCGTTTATAACCCACGAAACTGTCCCTATTACGATCTCTATTGGGGCCTCCCATAGGGAGGAGATGACGTTTCAGTTTATTACTTCTCCATCATGTCCTATCATATTAGGGTTTCCGTGGCTGAGTAATCCACAATCCCTATATTAAAGGGGTAGCAAACAAATATCATGAAACATACAACCTGTATGTAATAGGACGAAATCTTGAGAAGATCTAGGGAATACAAAAAATCACATAATAGTGAAGTATGTTAAGAGTAAATGACTCGATCCCGGAGGTAGAAAACTTACAAGCAGTACTGTAGATCTGAGCTTATCTCCCTCTTTCAGGGTATCTTAGAACAGCACTGGATTTTTCTTTCGAGAAGAACTTGCAGTGTAGGCGAAAATATATTCAGAGTACCCAATCCTCAAAGGAAAAAAGGGATATAGAGCAGTATTGTAAAAGAAAAATACATTTATTTGTACTAATTCTACAGTACTGCTTGTAAGTTTTCTACTTATTATGTGATTTTTTTTGTATTCCCTAGATTTTCTCAAGATTTTTGTATGTTTCATGATATTTGTTTGCTACCCCTTTAATCTATACTGTCACTTTGTTGGTGTGGTATAGATTTACTTTTTCTTGTTACATATTATATTGGTGTATGTGAGGTACACTTTTGGGTGTTTAGCATTACCATTTGGTCTTTTCTCTTTTGGGATACTATACAGTACTCTCTTTTTTTGTACAATCCCTATATTGACTGGGCTAATGGGGAGATATTAGAATGGGGTAAAGAGTGTATGGGGAGATGTATAAAACCAAGAGATTGGGTACTATTGACCTTCCCACTATCACTCCCCAAATTCCTGCAGTTCCCATACAATACCGAGAACTTCAGGAGGTGTTTAACAAGGCTCAATCCGATCTATTGTCTCCCCACAGAGCATATGACTGTGCCATTAACCTGTTTCCAGGCGCCATGCCACCTAAGGGGGCAGTTTATGCCTTATCTCCCCAGGAGAGTAAAATAATGGAGGAATACATCAAAGAATCCTTGAGCAAAGAGCACATAAGAAAGTCATCCTCACCAGCTGGTGCAGGATTCTTTTTTGTTGAGAAAAAGGGTGGTGAGTTATGCCCATGCATAGACTACAGGGCACTTAATAAAATCACTGTAAAAAATGCATACCCTATCCCACTCATTTCTTAATTGTTCGATAGACTTCAGGGAGCGAAAGTATTTACTAAGCTTGACCTTAGGAGCAATTTGGTTAGAATTAAAGAGAATCATGAGTGGAAGACAGCATTTAATACCCGTAGTGGACACTATGAATATCTGGTAATGCCATTTGGGTTATGCAACGCCCCGGCCGTATTCCAAGACTTTATAAATGATGTACTCAGGGAATTCATTTACTCATTTGTCTTGGTTTATTTGGACGATATTTTGGTGTATTCCCCTGATCTTCAAACTCACCACTCCCATGTGAAACAGGTTCTGCAGACGTTGTTGAAAAATAAACTTTATTGTAAATTAGAAAAGTGCATATTTGACCAGCCTGAAGTCCACTTTTTGGGTTACAACATCTCTGCATCGGGATTTCAAATGGATCCTAAAAAACTAGAGGCTGTACTACACTGGCCATTACCCTCTGGTTTAAAAGCCATTCAAAGGTTTATTGGTTTTGCCAACTATTACAGAAGATTCATCAAGGGATTTTCTTCTGTAATAGCCCCAATCACAAATATGACTCGCAAAGGGGTTAGTAGCACAGTATGGTCCAAAGAGGCTGTGAATGCTTTTGAGACTCTTAAACAAAGATTTGCCTCTGCGGACATACTAAAACATCCTGACACCAGTAAACCTTTTATATTGGAGGTTGATGCATCCAAGACAGGGGTAGGGGCTGTTCTCTCTCAGAGAGAAAGCCAGGGAACACCATTGCATCCTTGTGGCTACTTCTCCAGAAAGATGTCTCCTGCTGAGAGCAACTACGATATTGGCAATAGGGAACTGTTGGCCATTATTCTTGCTCTCGAGTAGTGGCGACATCTTTTGGAGGGTTCTAAGGACCACCTGTTGATCATAACTGACCACATAAACCTGGCATATATAGGGGATGCCAAACGTTTGTCTTCCAGACAGGCTAGATGGTCACTGTTCCTTTCATGTTTTAACTTTCTCATTACTTATAGACCTGGTTCTAAAAATACCAAGGCTGATGCCTTGTCCAGGCAATTTGATAATGAGTCAGCTCCGGAACAGGTGACATCTCCTATTATTCCACCAGAGTGTGTTATTGCTACTACTGTCCTCTCACTGCCTTCTCCACTGCTTGGCACCATACTGGAGGCCCAGCCTCAGGCGCCCAGTGGTAAACCGTGTGATAAACTGTTCGTTCCCCTATGTGAAAAGGTTAATATCATGAAAGTGTTCCATGACAATATAACTGCTGGACAGCCTGGCATCAATAAGTCCACTACCGTGATCACTAGATCATTTTGGTGGGATTCACTCAGGAAAGTCGTAAAGGAGTATGTGCAGGCATGTTCTGTGTGTGCAGTTTCTAAGGTGACTCATGCACTTCCATGTGGCCTGTTGCAGCCTCTTCCTGTTCCTGAGATTCCATGGTCCCACTTATCCATGGACTTTATTCTTGAGCTTCCTAGCTCTGCTGGGTTCACTATTATTCTCATGGTGGTAGACCGATTTTCTAAGATGGCTCACTTCATTCCTCTCAAGAAGTTGCCATCTTCGCAAGAATTGATCCTAATTTTTTTTTCATCCGCTTATAAAAATGTGGTTAATGACATTTACTGTCCACACAGGAAAAGTTGTGCCGAGCAGCAACCTAATCCACAGAAGGGTTAATGCTGAGCAGCAATTATGCAAAAGAAACCCGGTAACTGATTTTGGGGTCAAAGGCCGGTTACAGCCTATCAGATCTAGAGGAGGGGTATTTAGGCCCAGTTCTCATCCTGCTCAGTGCCCTGTCGTGGTCTCCCTTGTGGTTGTCCGAGAGCGCGTTCCTGTTTATAGTTTTCTACCTGGTTTTTGGCTTTGTTTATTGACTTCTCTATATTCTGGTATCCTGACTCCTGGCTTTCCGCATCGCTGCGTCCCTTTCTGTGTTCCCTGACCTCGGCTAGTATTTTGACTATTCTATGTACGTTAAATCCAGCCATTTTAAGGACCGGTAATACATTATTTGTCATCCGTGCTATACAGTTCTACGTGCTGGATCATACAGTAATCCTGACACTCCTGCATGGAAGACTGGTTTGCTTATACCGGTTTTGTTTGTAGATTTGAGCATTATCTGGATAAATGGCAGAGAAATAAAATCCACCCAGGACTGTCCCTTTACCTTGCAATATATATAAGGCCAGTAATAAGATAATGGCAATAAATTACACTCTATTATAATATGTCGGCTGATTTAGAACCTGCCAGCCTCTAGCAGGAGCAGTAAGAGATTCTCTGTAGCTTCAAAGATAAACAGTCACAGCTGGTTTTTATATTCCCAAAGGGAAAGTATTTATTACACGTTAACTGACTTTCCTTGGCTGTTAGTTTACCTGCAGCCGTTACTGTCACTGTAACACATTACATAGAGCTTTCTATAGAAAACGTACAATAAGGAATAACATTTGGTTACAGTTTATACACTCTGAATATTGTGTTATAGAAAAGATAGATCATCAGGAAGTCTCAGGGTTAACAGTCAGGAATCAATATGGGTAAAGAGAGCTCTTTACCCATATTGATAACGCCGATTGGCGAAACGCGTTTATGGTTTTTATATTGTGTAATTTTAAATATTAAAGCATATTTGGTAATCTTTTATCGTACCATTTATATTTTTATACACATATATTTATTACTGTTACCTGGCATCATTGCTTTTTACTCGCTGGACTTCAAGTAATCCTAGGTGGGGATTATTCCACCAACGCGAACTATCAGGAGCAGTTGACCTGCTCCTGTCTTGTGAGTATTCACTTTTATTCATATATTTTATTCTAAGTTTTACGCAGAGAACACCATTGGCTGTCTCTTTTTATTTGAGCATCTCTCATATTACGGAAGGAGGAAGTACGCGAAGGAAAGTCATTCCATATCCTGTAAGCGGGGATCAAAACCGCTGTACGCCCTCTATACCAGAGCAGGTTCTAGCTCTTTTAAATGTGAGTTTGCAATCAAGTTTTACATTTCAACTTCCTTTTTTCAAGATATACTACACTATTTTGGCTTTGTATTTGTTTTTATCTCTTGCATATGAGACGGCTCATAAGGAAGATATAAAGAAAGCAAGATTATTGCTTCGGACCAATATCAAGGACATTGCCAGATAAGACTTTCTCTTTTTATTCACTGACTTTACCTGGACTTTTAGTATCATTCTAAGTTTTATCCAAGCGCAGCCCTTTCTTGTATTTTTTACTTTTTTGTGTTTTATCTTAAGGGTTCTTGAGGGATTCCCTTATAGGGTTGCTGCTAATTTGTGTTATTTAGCGCTTTCTCATTGTTCTATTTTTAACAGTCAGGAAGTTAAATCCTATGATACAAACTGTCCGCACCCTCAGTGTGGAATGTGGTAAAACCCATCCCACTGATTTCTGAGAAATTACAAACATTCAGCTTCGATTCTTGTTCCTGCCTTCAGTGATGGCGTCTGCTGATCTGAGAGACGAGCTGACCTGCTCCACCTGCCTGAATATTTATACAGATCCTGTAACCCTGCCATGTGGACATAACTTCTGCCGGGTCTGCATTGAGAATGTGCTGGACACACAGAGGGTGAGAGGATATTCCTGTCCTGAATGCAGACAATTATTTAACACAAGACCAGATCTGCAAAGAGCTCTAAAACTGTGTAACATAGTAGAGAGTTTCCTATTTACTCATCCAAAGCAGGAGGAGGTTGGGATCTCCTGTACTTACTGTATTCAGTCCTCTGTACCTGCTGCTAAAACATGTCTGCTGTGTGAAGCTTCTCTGTGTGAAGCCCACCTGAGGGTCCACAGCCAGTCAGCAGAACATGTCCTAACTGAGCCCACCACTTCACTGGGGAACAGAAAATGCTCCGTCCACAAGGAAATCCTGAAATATTACTGCTCTGAGGATGCTACCTGTATCTGTGTGTCCTGCAGCCTGGCCGGAGAGCACAGGGGACACCAGGTGGAGACTCTGAATGAGGCCTTTGAAAAGAAGAAGGAGAAACTGAGACATATTCTGCAGAAACTGACCTCAAAGAGAGAGGAGGCTGAGAAAAGAGTCCAGAGCCTACAGGAGGTCAGGATAGAAGTGGAAGAAAAAGCAGCCGGGGTAACACAGGAAGTAACTGCCCTGATTAGGGGCATCAAGGAACAGCTGGAAGCTCTAGAGCAGCGAGTCCTGAGTGAGATCTCCAGGCAGGAAGAGCAGGTCTCACTGCGAGTCTCAGATCTAATCCGGCAGCTGGAAATAAAGAAGGAGGATCTGTCCAGGAAGATGGGTCACATTGAGGAGCTGTGTAAAATGACAGACCCATTAACTGTCTTACAAGAACGGGAATCAGACAGCGCTGACTATTGTGATACTGAGGAGGGAGATAATGAGGACAGAGAGAGAGATGATAACAAGGTCCGTGCTGTAGGGGATCTGGATGTGGGTCTGATCTCAGTAACCTTACACTCAGGCTTAGCTGGTATTGTGACTGGAGTAAAGAGACAGCGCCAAGTACCGGCTAATATATTACAGGGGGTAAACACGGCTTCAGACATGTTACTGGGGGTAAACACGGCTTCTGACATGTTACTGGATGTAAACACGGCTGCTAATGATGTAACTGTATCAGGTGATATGAAAACTGTATCCTGGTCAGAAATAAACCAGAGTCGCCCAGAAACACCAGAGAGATTTCAGTATAATCATGTTTTAAGCTCCAGGAGTTTCTCCTCAGGGCGACATTACTGGGAAGTGGAGGGCAGTGAATCAGGGAGATGGATGGTAGGGATGGCCTATCGCAGTATAGACAGGAAAGGACGTCAGTCATGGATTGGATTAAATAACAAGTCCTGGGGTTTGGGGAGGTGGGGTAATAATCAGTATTATGTGATACATGACAGTAAAGATATCCGGTTATCTCCCCTCCGCCCCCCTTCCAGCCGGAGATTGGGGATATTCCTGGACTACGAGGCCGGGCGGCTGTCCTTTTATGAGCTGTGTGACCCCATCAGACACGTTCACACCTTCACTGCCACCTTCACTGAGCCGCTTCATGCTATATTCAGCGTATATGGGGATAACACCTGGCTTAGAATTTATTGAATGATTTATTAATCTAATTAAAGATATTTAACTGGAAATCCCGGAGTGGGAATCACGAGACGATAATACTGATCTGGGTGTGGGCGGAGCATCACAACAAGGTTAGCTCCGCCCACTTGAATTGTGTATGGGCGGGGCCTGTTACTAAGCAACAGCTGCTCTGTGTGTCACTGTGTGTGATTGTGGGTGAATGTTACTGACATTAAAGCAGAATTACTCAATATAGACAAACGTCTCTATAATTAAACAATAGTCACAGCTGGTATCCTGCATGCTAGAGATTGCTTTTTAATTCAAATCTGTGTGTGTGAGTTTGTGTTGTCTGAGTGTGATGAGAGTTATAGTTTATTGCATCTGAAATGTCATCTACAGGCAGCCTCTGGTACTGGGAGCTGTTCTGGACTTCAACTCCCATCATGTGTTTTACACCTGCACTATGTGTGTGAATGTGTGTGTCATAATGTGCGTTAGTGTGTGTCGTAATGTGTGTGTCACCTTGTCAGTGTGTGTCATAATGTGCACTGCGTGATTATTATTGTATATTACCTGGCTGAGTGTGATGGGAGATGTAATGATTAATGTAATTCTCCAGCCGTTCTCCAGGTTTAGGCCGAGCTCTTTGTATGATATTGAAAAGTATAAAAAGCATATTTTACTTGATGGGCTTTACTAAAATGGTGTTTGTAATATTTACTAAAATGGTGTTTGTATTAGGAATGGTTATAATAAACAGATAATGAAATTTACCCAATAAATCCAGGTACGTATAGAAAATGATCTGAGAGAATAGGACGGGAGTTTGAAGCTTGTAAACTAAACGCCATTTATCGCGCCCACTGCGAGTTCATTATTTCTCTAAGTACCTTCCGTAGCTTTAAGAATGTTAAATATATAAAATGTCACTGGATCTGTTTATCTTCAGTTTGCTGAATAATTTCTGGCTCAATCAGGGCAATCTGAGAATTTCAATTAAAATCTTTATTGAGAATTTACTGCGTCACTTTGTGTTCCCTCTAATATTTAGTGGTTGTTGTGCGCAGAAATATTTTGTTGTGTAAATGTTTTTCCTGTTACGCAATATGTGCGCACTGAATGCTTTTACAAATGGAAATCTGAAATTGTGTCAAAATAATTTAGTCACAGCCTCTCTCTCATGGCTAATAACACTGTATCGCAACGTTTTATTACAAATATGATTGCAAGTTATATTGTTATGCCCACATCCATGCCATATTGCTTTATGCCCACATCCATGCCATATTGCATTATGCCCACATCCATGCCATATTGCTTTATGCCCACACCAATGCCATATTGCTTTATGTCCAGATGCATGCCACATTGACCACATTTTATTATGCCCATTGTAGTGATGTGTATATTAACCCCTTAAGGACACATGACATGTGTGACATGTCATGATTCCCTTTTATTCCAGAAGTTTGGTCCTTAAGAGGTTAAAGGACTGGTTACTTTCAGAGGCTGGGGGATTCCCTGTGTAGGAGTGCTTGGGTGAGCACCATAGGCATGGGCAACCTATTGCATAAGTGTGTGCACCCTAAAGCACAAACACACACGCTGTGTGTGTATATGTATATATAGAGATAGATAGAGTAACGGCACCCCGAGCATAAAAGGGGATAAAAACCTCTGTTTAGTAGATCTTCCCTTCCAGAGACACAGGCACAGCTACTGTAGACACCAATCCACCGAACCGGAGAAGTATACGAATGCAGTAAACAGCCGAATAGGAAAAACCATATGAATAGGTTTACACTCCTAGCAGTCAAACTGGAACAGCATACAATAAATCCCCCCAAGAACGAGACAAAGCTCTGTGTTGAGGGTCAAGCAGTGAACAGACAGAGCTGTGGGTTTATTGTTCTTATATACACATTCTTACACATTAGTAACACCCACAGGGTTTTGGAAAACAACCAATAAACACGTACAATACACTCAGACACTCTCACACAAAATCCTCCCCTCTGCCTGTGATACAATTACCTTACACAAGGGGTAATGTAATTATCACAGGCAGAGAAATACAGTTTTTCCACATTATTCATAACTTGAAAAGTATGCATCACATTCACATAAAACTTACATTTTCAGAATCAGCATTTTCTGATTCTGCATGACCTTTCTGCATAGGAAAATAAAGTATTTAAATGCCGGTCCATAGTCAAAAGGCATCAGGCAAGCAACCAGGCTCCTCCAATGCACAGAGGCAAGAATGGTCTCGTCACATCTCTCCCCTTTTCCAAACAGACTAACAGGGTATCTGACCTTCTGCCGGTTAGTGCCCTGGTTAGTCCAGCAGCCCAACCATAAAACAGAAACAGCAGTACAGCCCACACACAATAAATGGTTACTACACCTGAGTAAGGGAGAAACTTGCCCTGGTGCCAGCACTACCACGGAAGTAGCCTGGTGGGAGCCTGGTTGCTGGAGGGGGAGACCGACTGTCTCCCCTTTGGACAAAGCACCATGCTGCTGTGGGGGGAGACCGACTGTCTCCCCTTTGGCTAAACAGCCCTGTTGCTGGGGGACAGGACCGACCGTCCCTACCCCCTGCGGTTTAGGCACAGAGAATACAGTCCCATCTGCACCGGTATGGGGCTTATCATCTCCCCTTGGGGGGCTAAACTCCTCTCCCTTACACACTTTCAGCCGCTGGGGAAGGGAGACAGGGCTCTCCTTTCCCTGTAGGACACTCTGCAACTGGGGGACCAACTGTCTCTGCCCCCTGTAACTCAGCCTGCCGCTGGGGAATGGAGATTGGGCTCTCAATTCCCTGCAGGACCGGTGGAGAGACCTCGGTCCCATCTCCACCAGCCACCTGGGGTTCTTCCCAGCAAAACTCTATCTCGTCCCAGCTGAGTGGGTCTGGCTCTGGGTCTGTCACTCTGCTCTCCTGCTGAGCCTTCTCACTGCAGTGGAACAGCTGCTGGTAGCCCTGTTCCAGCTCTATCTTTCGGGTCACCAGGTGAACCAGGTCTTGCTCAATCTCGTGAGTGTCGTCCCAGTCATACCTGCTCTCCCTCCACTCAAAGAGATCATGGAACCGGGCTTGTGTAGGGCTCCCAAACTCAGGCTCTGAAAAAGTCTCCCATAACAAGCCAGGGCCATCAAACTCCTCACCCTCTGGCTTGTCATGCTCGGCTGTCCAGGGCAGGTACTGTGCCCCATACCACCAGAGTGCCTGGTAGGCATCTTCAAGCCACATCTCCTGCCATACCCGGAGCTCCAATTCCTTCATCCATTTCTCCAGGGGCTGCTCTCCCAGGAAGGACATCCGCATTGCTAGTCGCTTCTGCAATCGCTGGTCTTCCTTGGGGTGTCTGTCGCCCCGCTGGTACTCCGCAACACCCAGTGCCTGTCACAAGATGCCTCTTTGGACTGCATCTTGGTCATCCATGACACCCTCATCGTACTCCACTGCTGGTTCCATCCCGGTGCTGTCAGGGTCGCTGTACTGGGACATGCATTGCCCTCAAATTGTAAAATCCACGTAACGGTGTCTCCTGTAGCTCTCCTTCTGGCTGTAGGAACGATCCCGCCACTTGCCACCAATTGTAACGGCACCCCGAGCATAAAAGGGGTTAAACCGCCGTTTAGTAGATCTTCCCTTCCAGAGACACAGGCACAGCTACTGTAGACACCAATCCACCGAACCGGAGAAGCATACAAATGCTGTAAACAGCAGAATAAGAAAAACCATATGAATAGGTTTACACTCCTAGCAGTCAAACTGGACCAGCATACAAGAAATCCCCCAAGAACGAGACAAAGCTTTGTGTTATGGGTCAAGCAGTGAACAGACAGAGCTGTGGGTTTATTGTTCTTATGTACACATTCTTACACATTAGTACCACCCAGAGGGTTTTGGAAAACAACCAATAAACATGTACAATACACTCAGACACTCCCACACAAAATCCTCCCCTCTGCCTGTGATACAATTACCTTACCCAATGGGTAATGTAATTATCACAGCCAGAGAAATACAGTTTTTCCACATTATTCATAACTTGAAAAGTATGCATCACATTTACATAAACTTACATTTCAGAATCAGCATACTCCAAATACAAACATATGTCAAAATCATCCAAATTGATCCATTGGTTCAAAAGATAGATCGTAGTCCTTTGTGACCAAATGAAGCATGGCTTTTCTGCCCAAAACCAGTTCCACAGAGTCTTCTATCCTGGAGATAATTGGGAAGTAATCCAATTATCTCCAAGGACAGAGGCAAAACTCCATTAAGCACATGGCAGCAAAAGGACAGTAAAATACAATAACATACACAAGGTTACATTTATTACATAAAATACAGACATGCATAGCTTAGGTCTGAGCGCTCATTATTACTGAATGGCGCTCAGACCACACACATACAGTTCAATCGCCAAGGAGCAAAAGTCTTTTATTACACGAATAGGCTCCATGGCACAGCTATCTGGGTTAAATGAGTTCATTCAGTAAATCCGAGAATCTACTGAACGCCAGGGCAGAAATACATGAATAGACCTTTCTGCATAGGAAAATAAAGTATTTAAATGTCGGTCCATAGTAAAAAGGCAGCAGGCACGCAACCAGGCTCCTCCAATGCACAGTGGCGAGATTCGTCTCGTCACAGATAGATATATACACACACATACACTGCTGTGTGTGAGGGTGCTGTGTGTGTGTGTAAGGGTGCTGTGTGTGTGTGAGGGTGCTGGTTGTGTGAATTTGTTTGGAGGGACTGTGGGGGGGGAGGAAATAGCCCCTGCTGCTGCCATCCCTGGTGGTCCAGTGGTGAGTGAACGCTCCAACCTCGCGAGAGGAACCTGGCAGAGCTGCTGGCAAGAGTTCCCCGGGTCCTCTCCTGCCTCCCTCCCTGCAGGCCGGTGAGGGCACCATCCCATGGAGGCACACAGCACGGGCCGCGGGGATTAGGGTGTGCCCAGGCACACACGGCACACCCCGTGCGCACACCTATGGTGAGCACT